GTTTGAAACAATTCACAAAATGACCAGTAGAGGGGGTGCGCTCCCCACTTTTGGTGTGGAAGTGGCTCTCCCTGCCAGTGTCAGGTCTAGACGCCAGGTTTTCAGGGCTAAGGAAAAGCAAATCTGCTCTACGTCAAAGAGGCACTAGCCTTCAGCAGATTTGGGGGACACAAGTTGGTGTAAAGCCTCACATAATCTTGCTGGACATTGAGGCTGTGTGAGCTCTATCCGTTTAGCCTAGACCAAGTTAGATCGCAAATCCAATCAGGATTACTCTTCAGGCTGCCCGATTTCATTGTGATGGAGGCAGCTGAGAGGTTTTGACAAACTGGGCAGTGAGGGTGAGTGCTGGGGTGGGCAGAGAGGCATAAGGGGCATAAAACAATGAAACTGGGGACTTCGAAGCATCACAATCTTCCTCTGCTCAAAAGAAAGAAAAAGCCTTGCCTTATGTGTTCCTGTACTGCAGGAGGGGATGCTATCTCCCCCGGGGAGCCTTCTCATCTCTGTGGGTACAATCTTGATCAAATGCTGTGGACTCTGATGATTTGTTTTCTGAGCATTTTGAGACAGGGACACTGTTACACATTTCCAGTTCTCACCTTAAATCCTGACAACACTGTAAATGCACAACAAATGTTGAATCAGTGAATGAATGAGTATTCAAGAGTAGGGAACCCATTAAGTAAGTATAGTAGCCTTAGTGGAATATTATTCAGTTGTTTAGAATAATGGTTATTTGAAAGTGTTCGTCATGAGAAAAAAAGTGTAGCTTTGTGAGATGATGGGTGTTAAAACTAAATTGAATGTGATCATTTCATACTATATATGTTTCAAATCGTTATGTTATGCACCTCAAACCAATGCAATGTTGCATGTCAATCGTGTCTCAGTGAAATGAAAAAAAAAATTAATGGTTATAATGGCCATGTAGCAACATGGAAAATGCTTATAATTTTATGTTAAATATACAAATTGATACCTATGTTATGGGTTGAGTTGCTTCTCAATTCTTGTCCCTACTGCAACAAAGAACTGAAAGGCAAGAGACACAAGCAGAGTGAAAGTTTTATTTGAACATACTTCAAGGGAGGAGTGGGCCAGAGTCAAGGTAGACAAAGGCAGGCTGCTTACTGCCAGGCTTCTTTTAATGGGGTTTTTGGCAGGGCAGAGAAGTCCTTAATTGACAATCTCTGGCCTTAGAGGCCTGGGCTAATTGGTGAAATGGAGACATGGGCTACATTCTAATGGTTACTGTGCTTGTCTTCTGATATTTTCTTTATCTGGGGAGTGTTTGGACATTCCAAGTAATTTCTGGTCCTTGAAACTTCAGCTAATTAACTCTGTCTTTTCTGGCTCTCTGGTTTTATCTGGTTAACTCTTTGAGTCCCTATTAGTGGGCTTTACTGACTTTATTTTCTCTCCACCACACTCATAAAGACTTTTCTGCCTATCATTTTGACAACATCCTCAAATTAAATTCAAAAAGGTGCTTTTACCTTTAATTAAGGGCCTCTGGAATATGTTGGAGGATTTTCTCATAAAGGAGAAATATTTGGCTAATTTGGCTTATTCATTTGATATAATTACCTGGGAAGCACCTATGTAAGATCATGCATGCATGTGAATGCAAAGGGAACAAGGGGAAATGAAGAGTTGTAAAAGGTAGTGGGCTTGTGGGTGGCTTCCTCCCTACCTTGTTGCTCAATCTCTTCTATTGTGGCTAGTGCAATAAACATAAAAACCATTTTTACCTGCCCCTGAGAGCATCTCAGTTTCATTCTTTGGTGCCTTGACTACCATTCCATTTGTCCAGATCTCAGTGTCTCTTCAGAACTCATTTTTGTTTCATTTTCTGTGCACAATGCCCAGTGCCACACCCACACGCACACGGACATGGCTACATACTTTAATGATTTCAATGGCAGCTGCCATAGTAACATCAAGTTCAAACACATAACATCATGTTCTCCCAAATTAGTCAACTGCCTCTCAAGTGTTATCCACAGTCCCTTTCTACAGTTTCTCACTATACTGATAATGGATATCATTTGTTAAGGATCTACTGTGTGCCTTCCACCTGAATTTAATCCTCACCATAAAGCCGCAAGGTAGGAAACATTGTTGTATTTAGGAGAGTTAGAAACTGAAATTCATGGAGTTTAAATTACTTTCCCAAGATCATAGACAGTTTCCACACCCAAGACTTTAGGCTGGCAAAGGCAGAGGTCTAATACATCATTTATTTAAACAGGAAAATGAAGCTCATAGGCCTCACCTTAATGAGCCTTCCCCCCTCCCCTGGCCCCACCTTCTGAATCCCATTCTCCTTTCTCAAGGCTTTGGAAAAATAACTGCTTCCTCCTTCCTTCCTCCTCCTCCTTCCTCCTATTCAAACCTGCTCACAGGGCATCTACAGATCTTAGCAGAGATTTCAGATAAGGGGTACTCCCTCTTGGTGGTCAGTGTGCTTTGAAACCTTTCTTTAGGGACTCAGTGATATTTTATCTCCTGGGAGATATCAGAAAGGCATTTTCAGGCACAGGGTCCAGTCAAGACCCCTGAAGTCACTTCAGGGCATGTTGTCACCTGTACAAATGACTAGCAACAATTGCAGAGAATGAGGGGTCATGTGGCGTGGGCAGGCGTCTTGGTTTGAGAAGCTGAGACTGGGTGGGTGGGTTACAGGAGACAGTCGACTTCAAAAATGTGTTATTTACCTATCTACTTGTGGCTGCTGTGTGAAATAGGAATTGTATTTTCTTCTGGACAGAAATATTTTTTTCCACTGAAAATCTAAATGTAATTTTAGTGTTTCTCAGTAGGAGCTGAGAAAGGTCTTAGATTTTTAAAGCTATTTCTTATAGAGTCCTGGTAACAGATAAAATGGTGTCTATTACTGTACATTTCAAACAGTTTCATGACTTTGTCTCAACATTTAGTATTTATTAAATTAAATGAAGCTGTTAACTTTATCTGGAAATATCATACTGTAATTAAAATGGTACGAGAGGTACTGGTAGCATTTATTTTTTATGGCTTCCTGTTTACATAGGAGGAAACATCTTCCTTTGCAGCTACCAATTCTCTTTGGCCTCATTAACAGGGCGGCCTACTGTGGCCTTTCTTTCCCCCATGCTCCTCCTCCGTCTCCAATGACTCTTTCATCTGTCCCCTCATTAGTGTTTTGTTCCTTGTTTTGCCCCATAAAAATGATACTGCACCAACTGAACAGCTAGCATTTCAAGAGGTCTCCACTAAATGGCAACACCTACTCTGAGTTATTACTGACTTGTTACTCTTTTTCTCACATTGCAAGTCATTGATCAATGTCAATGACGGCCAATCTCTTTTCTACAAGAGTGGCTTTCAAAGTATGGTCAGCAGAACCTTGGGAGGCCTGAAGACCTTTTGCGGGGATCTATGGCAAAACTCTTTAGTAATAATATAAAAAGTTATTTGCCCTTTTCACCATGTTGACATTAGTTCTGATGGTACAAATGTAGTGATGGATAAAACTTGGTGCCGTAGTCCAAATCAAGGCCGTGGCACCACCCTGAACAGGTGGCCGTTGAACTCTTTGCCACCATGCACTTGCAATTAAAAAAAAAAAGCCATTTTACCTAAGGAGATCCTTGATGAAGAAGTAAGAGCTACTGAATCCAAATCCTTGGGTGCATGACTTTTTAATACTGTGTGATGAAATGAGAAGTATGCTTAACGTGCTTCTGCCACACACCAAAGCATGAAGTTATTAGAGGAAAGGCACTTGTACAATTATTTGAGTTGCAAACCAAACCAGAGGCTTCTTTTCATACACCATTTTTTCTTGAAAGAACAACTGACAGATAAGCTATGGTTATTCACACTTGGCTATTTGGCAGGTATTTTCTCAAAAAGCAATGGAGGTGAGCCTGTCAATGCTTCAAGAAACAACTGACAGAATCAGGTTTTCAAACCAACACTGGCGTTTTAGAAAACCTGCATCTGCCAAAACAAGTTTCAGAAAACTTGTGTGAGCTCGACCACTTCCTGATACTTAGAAAACTTTCTGATGAGGTCGGGGTATTAGCGAATGTGATTGGTGGGGCATCGCCTAATGAAATATGTCAATATTTGGAAGAGCTGCATAACTCAGTGAAGCAGTTATTTTTCCAAATGGCAATGCATGTTATAAAACCACACATGGTTAAAGTTCTATTTAAAGTAGAAGACATACCATTAGATTTTAACAAACCAGGAAAAGTCTATTGATACTGTTTCAGATTTAACATAGCAAACAACCTTTATGGCACTACCAGTTCAGATTTTGATACAGTGTTTAATAAAGAATACCCACCATTATCTGAAAAGGCTATTAAAATAATTATTTTCCAACTTCATATGCGTGCAAGGCTTTTCTTCAAACATGTCAAAATAGCATTATCTCTGTAGATTGAATCCACATCTGATGAGAATCTAGCTTCTATAAAGCCAGATATTAAAGAGTTTTTTGCACTCTTTAAACATGAAAGTGTCACTCTTCTCACTATATTTGTTGTGGAAAACAGTTATTTTTCACAGAAATGTGATAACTTTGAATGAATTAAAGTTTTTTTTTAGTTTCTAGTATGATAAATATTGACAGATAAAACTCACAAAAACAAAAGTTCTTTGGGGACCTCAATGATTTCTAAGTGTAAAAGAATTCTGAGATGAAAACTTCCTGTACAAGTACCACTCCTTCCTTCCCAAATACCTTCTCCATGACCCCTCTCAGAACCTCAGATTTTCTATACTGGTATTCTTTTGCTATAAGTCACTTGGACTTGGACTCTTCTCTCTTTAAATCTAAATACACATTAGTGGTAATATGTTGCTATAGCAGTCATTAATGTGTAAAAATAGTAGCCAACTTTTAGTGCTATGTCCAGTTTTATGCTGAACATTTTTAATGTTTATCTTAATCTTATGAAGAATCAATGTTTATTATGCCATTTTTCAATGAAAAAACTTACTGATTTTATTAGATTGGTTTTATTACATGAATCGGCAAGGGCTTGAGGGAAGATGACACATCCTTTCAGATAAGGCACATGCTCCCAGGAGCAAAGGGCAGAGAAGTCTGAAGCACAGATGCAGTGTCCCGGGATGGCTCTTGCCCAACGAAGGGGCGGCCACCAAGGCAGGTGAGCAGGTGAAGCACATGCTACCTTGCTGGTTAGCCCTGCCCAGGTGGACTTTGTTTCCTCGTGTTCCACCAACCGCCTCTCTCCCTCCTCCACCCATTCTGAAAGCTTATAATCCCTTTCCACTCCCCATGTGCACCTAAGTATCAGAACTTTAACATTAAAAAAATAAATTTATTTCAATCTGAAATACTGAAGAATGAACGTACACATAAATAGAACACAGCAAAAATTGGAATATGAAAAATGACAGGCATTCTTCTGGCAATGCTGAGTTTACACATAAACATTTTTTTAAAGACATTTCGCCAACATTCACAAAAAGCAAAAGCTGTATTTGCAACATTTATAAATTCAACAACTTTGGAAAGCATCCAGTTTCTTTCTAAAATCATTTGATTAAAATTTACACAAGTGATGGTTATCCAACTCCATTTTCCAAAGACAGAATTACATGACATTATCTGACTTTAACTCAAAACAGAAATTTTATTCATTTTACGTTTTGTCACATATTTCATCCTTTTTCTAATCAACAAGGAAAGATACGCATGACATATATGCATATGTTTTTCAGAAATAAAGTGTTCAACTTTTATCTGTGACTCAAAAATCTCAGGAATAGAGCAAACACATGATTATTTTAAACAACACTGACAGTTAAAAAAAATTATTATTTAGAGGAGAGGCCAAAAAACCTGGGATATAAATATCTTAGGAAGTTAATGACTCAGCATATTCTGCCAAAGGTATGGCCAACTGAGTAAAGAGGCTAAAACATTTCAAATTCCCTGTATCCACAAAATAACAATCATCAGTTGTTTATCCAATTGTTCAGGGAATTTTTCTCTAGCTAGGTAAGTTTCTGTGGTACAGTGATTTCATCTACCCCATGATGAATGGCATTTAAGATTTAACAAAGATCTCTGAGACCAAATCGAACACATTCATTATACAGATGAGGAAACTGCTGCCCAGGGAGTTACAGGGACAGCTAGAAAGAGCCAGGATGTGGATATGGAGTTCCTGATTCCCAGTTGAGTTCTTCTGGAATTACATTCCACATTCTCTGGTAATACATTATGTAAATAATATGTAAATCATTTACATAAACGCACATCCTATATAAATTACTTGATAATCTACAATAGTTTGATTACAGAGAATGTTATAAATTATAATGTAAAGCAACTGCATATACTATATCCAAATCAGAATTGCTAATTCACTTCAAGGGTATTCAGGGTATAACTGACTTTTTAAATTTAATGTGGACATAATGTAATTATCAGGCTGTTTAGATATGACTACTCTAAAGATATCTCCCGATCAGCTTAGAGAGTCAGGACAACATTTATGTTTTCACTGTAAACAAAATGCAGCTGTAGGCACTGTGGAAACACATTTGGTCCTATTCTCCTTGTCCTGAGCATGTAAAAGAGCAGAATGTGTCAACAGTATGGAGATTACACTCTTTAGTGAAGAATCCACTCCCTCTACCGCTGAGGGAGGACGCCCCGGGACACAGTATTCCTCAAAGGAGAATGGTCATAAAAATGATACTGCACGCCTGAACAGCCAGCATTTCAAGAGGTCTCCACTAAATGGCAATGCCTAGTCTGGGTTATTACTGACTTCCTCATCTCAGGAATCTTCACACAAAAGTATAGCTGTGATACAAGAAATCATGAAAAAGCCAGTAGCACATAGGATGAAATTTTCTTCCTAGAAAGTTGTATACTGGAAAAAATAAAAAAGTAAAAAAAGCGATGGTACAAAACTAATCTATCTCAAGTTGGAGTGAAAAACTGGTGTCAGCATTTACACCATGATAGGAAGGCAGTGCACAGAACTCAAGGTAATGAGCCTGGGATCCTTAGCTTAATCAGAACCTAAGCCTAAGACCAAAGTCATGGGTTCAGTCTGTACACAGAGTGGTCTGCATGGCCACTGACAGTACCTGTTACAAAGCACCGTACAACGAGGATACAGGAAATGGGAAAAGTCTTACATGTCCTCAGGAAGTGTCATTCCAATACCGTGCTTTGGTGGGTCAGAAGGGTCATGAGGGCATAATGTGCTCACACTGGGGAACCTGGCAGCCAGGCCAGGACAAGAGGGAGCCAATTAGGAGTATGTTCTACACTTGGTTCTACCAGATATTGTTATATGTAAACTCATGTATTCCTACATGACTTAAAGGCATTAGACCTCCATATTATCATTTTAGAAATCCTTCCAAACTTCCATTTTCTACAAAAAAAACGCTTTTGAAAAGTCAATGTCAAGAAGTTTACTTTCAGATTGACAATGTAAGACCAAAAAGGGCGCTCAAGAGATAAATGGTAGTGTTAAAATGATGGAAGAAAAAGTATTTTAAGCAAAATATTGCCTAAAGGAAAAATGAAGTGAAACAGTAATCGCATTTAGGGATATGATAATTTTTAAGTAAGTGTCCATTTCCTGTAATGTACAAACCAAGCCTTACCACTTGATTGTCACATGATATTAACTTTTCCTTAAATTGCTGATTCTGATTGTTTGGACATCATAATTGTTTTTGATTCTTGATCTGTAGGACTATCAACTGGCAACTGTAGAAAGGATCAGAAGATAAAAAATTAATAGCATCCGGCATATGCCATTATGACAGATCAACAGTTGGTTCAGGAAAAGAAATAGCTGACTAGACAGACTGGTTTCACTTATTCTAGGAACACATTTCTCAATTGTATAATCAAAAATGTTCTTTACTTACAGCTTTAATATCACTGCTTGTAATTCCTATATTTATATTGTGTCTTCTCAGATCAGACTTGATTAATGCTGAAACAGAAGCATCAATGGAGTTACCAAAGAGTATGTATGAATATACGTTTCTCTAAGCTGTACAAACTCTTTTTTGATATTCAAGTTAAGCAAACTATAGTAGTACCATAATATTCAATGGCATCCTTGTAGCCTGAAAAAATAATAGTGTTGGCCTCTCTAAGCCATTAAATTAATTATTAGTTTGTCATTCATTAGTGAACAAATACAGGATATTAACCAAAGGTACAAAGATGAAAAGCACAATTCTCTCCCTAAAGCACCCTCCACAGTCTAGGGAAGTACTGACAATTATAATTACAATAATAACTATAATAGTGCAGGTATGTACTAGGTATGCTTAGAAGCATGGAGAAAAATGCCCATGTCAGCCAAAGGAAATCCAGAAGGCTTGCCAGAGGAAACACATTTGAATTGGAACTTGAAAAATGAGTGGGAACTGGTCAAGCAGGATAGAGGACAGAGGAAGGCATTCACGGTAGGCAGAAAACAGTGTATGCCAAGAAACTGGGCAGGAAGAGGCTAGCCTATTCTTGGTACTATAGGCAGTTTGGGATCATTGGAGCATCAAGTCCAAGAGGGAAGTCACAGGATATGAGGCTGGGTTGCTAAGTATCCTGTATTCTGCGTAAGAGTTTATACTGCATGTGAGTGGTGAGGACACCAATTAGGCCTACATATTAGCTCAATCTGGCAGCTCTGGGGAGGGTGGTTTTGGTAGTGAGACTAGAGGCTTTAACCCTGCTAAGAGATGGTAAGTCCTGAATATGCAAGAAATTGAGATATAGGGACAGATTTCAGAATAGAACCAGTAAGCCTTGGTGGTTTGATAGGATATGAAAAATGGAGATGGAAGGGAAGTGCATGACATAAGTTCTTGGGCAACTAAATGGATGGTGGTCCTGGCGACTGACACTGACAGCACAAGAGGAATAGGAGTGGTGGGAAGATGGCAAGCTGGGCTCTGGACAGGCTGAGTATAAAATGTCAGCCCGTGGGACACACAGGTCTAGCGATAGATATAGGATTGGACACATGGGTCTGAAATATCAAAGAGATCAGGGTCTAGTGATATAGATTTGGAAGTTACTAGTGTTAATGTGGTAGTTAAGCCATAGACTACTCAAAGAAAGTGTAAAATAAGATGTGTTTGTGGGTAAGTAAGCAGTCATAAAGCAAAGTAAAAATAAAGGATGGAAGTAAAATAGTGTCCTAAAAGTCCGTCTTAATGCTTGCCCCTTATAATTCTGCTCTATTACTGATATCAATATTTTGGAAATTCAGTACTTATGCTGAGCTATTGGGATATATGTAAAAAGGCTTTTCTGAATGCATTTAAATGAATTTAAAGCAACTGGTGATATTATGTAAGGAGATATTTAAAAGCGGCCTAGATATTAAAAGCACTGTGCTTTAACGTGCAGCAATGATCGCCACTGACTCTCAGTTCTACGTCATATGATTTGCAGATCAAAGAGGTTCTCACTCATTTTTTAATAAGAGAAATTGTATATTTCTTTACCATTATACTAATTATAGAATTTAGAAACACCATGAATGGCATCATCACCTACTTCTTTTCAATGGATACAAATGGGCTATGGATAAATAATAAGGACAGGGAGCTGTCATTACTCAAAAGGCAAACCGCATTGCATTAAAATAATTCCTACGTTAAAACAAGAACTCCCAGCAATTCTAAGGGAAAAAAATGTGAAAGAAAAGGTCCCACCTGCATTCCATCTCAGGAATTGCCCAGCCCTCATTTTTGTCTATACAAATGAATACTGGATATAAAATTCATCACCCTCTACAAGAAAATACTCAACACGTGAGAGAAATTAACATTATAGATGGCAGAAGTACCAGCATAGAATTAAAAAAATTTTTTACTTCTAATTAATTTTCCATACTTATTTTGTTTGCATTAATATATATAGATCTGATTATAAAAGTAACATGAAAACAAGAGTACAAAACTGCTCCCTTTTCTGGCTCAACAATGACACTCTACTTGATAGATATATGCTACTTCTCTGGGAATTAAGAACCAATATGGAATTACAACACATCAACAGTTAAGGCAGTTCATGTATTATATTTTCACAGCTTTGTATATGTTATTTTGCTGACTGAAGAGAATGCGGAAAACTTTGTCATGCTACGATGTTCTTCGAGGACACAGGGTACATCAACACTCTTGGAACATGAATGTCAGTGACCCTAGGTGATTGCGTATTTTCAAAATCAATGTTTACCACTTGTACATATTTGGGGTTTCAAAAAGAATTTCTGCTTGATTCTATGCGTTCATAAAAGGATGTGGAAAGAAATCAGCAAAGTGAAGTAACAGTAGAATCCAACATGGACCTGGAAGCATTGCTGGACATAAGTCTTGTTCCTAAATCCATTTTTATGCTTCTATGCGTGGACACACTATGGATAAAAGTTCTTTTACATTCTCTTTCTCTACATGTGGGGCACTACTGTCTTTTCTCCCAAGTCTATTTTTTTTTTTTTTTAGAGGGCATCTCTCATATTTATTGATCAAATGGTTGTTAACAACAATAAAATTCTGTATAGGGGAGTCAATGCTCAATGCACAATCATTAATGCACCCCAAGTCTAATTTTTGTCAGTCTCCAATCTTCTGAAGCATAACGAACAAGTTCTTACATGGTGAACAAATTCTTACATAGTGAATAAGTTCTTACATGGTGAACAGTACAAGGGCAGTCATCACAGAAACTTTCGGTTTCCCAAGTCTATTTTGATTATACCTAAGTATAAGAACAGGCTAACCATCCCACATCCTATTTCTACCACCACCAATTGACTTCTTACCACCACTACTTCATTATAATGAAAGCTAATGTCATCAGGCACTTTCTAGGTGCCAGGCACAGTACTAAGAGCTTTTCGTGAACCACCTCCAATAACCCTCATAGCAACTTCTAAGGCAGGCTTTTTAATACCCTATCATATAAATGAGGGGAGGAGGATTTGAAAGGGTGAGTAACTTGTCTGTGTTCCCTCAGCTAGTGAGCCCCAGAATCAGAACTTGAGGCCAGATCCACCAACTCCAAGTCCTGAGTGACTCTAGATACAAGTTTTGTTTTCCATGCACAGTAGTTGTATTGGATTTGAAACCTAAAAAATGAATTAATAGATTCATTTTTTTAGAAGAAAACAGATACTACCTTGGTTTTTTACCTCATTTTTTCTCCTAGAATTCTGCTAAACCATTCAGAATCAGTACACATGAAAATTATTAAAGACAACATGACCAAGTACCCTTAGGTACCCAGGAAAATACCCTCATTTACCTGTTAAAATGATGCCTACAAACATCCACACACACAGGAAAATGTTCCCTGCCTTAGGACCATAGTCTGATATGAGCTTTCCTTGAGCCAATGTGAACAAAATTCCAAATATCTAAAATAAAATAAGAGAAATAATTTTTACAAAGTGTGCATTCTTTAAAATAAGTGGAAAGTTTTCCCCAGAACTATTTAATTCATATTATTTGGCCTCCTGAAACATTCACTGAAAGGTAGAATTTTTAAAACAAAAAAAAACTATAGTTAAACTCACTATCCACTAAGAATAGTTGGTGGATCGATCACCTCAGGTTTCGGAGGAAGCGAGATTTACCTGCGCAGCAGCATTAAGAAGGCCCGACGAAGTACCTTCAGATTCAGGGTAAGTGATCTCAACAGCAAACTCAAAACCCAGGGGGAGGTAGCCAGTCATGAAGAAACTAGGAGAATAAAGCCAGAATTACAGAAAAGAACTAACAGGAGGACAGCATCACACACTGACACAATCATTCTACTTCTCAGGCCTATTCTAATGATCAAATCAATGAATATTTTGAGTTGATATATGAAAGAAAGGCATTATTATTATTATTCACCATTCAGTCCAAGATGACGAGAACTGAGAAGCAAAACAATTCCTGATTTTTCTTTTCGAGAAAGATTTACCTCTGTTTTTCTCAGTCAGTTGTCTAACTAGATAAAGTCATGTGGATTAAGTTTATCCATTTTCCACCTACATGTACCAAAAAACAGCTTAAAACTATTTTTATATTTCTAAATAATTATACATTTATATGACTAGGACAGATCCCTTAAAGTTTAAAACATTAAAGAAAAAGTGGAAACCACAGTAATAATACTTGAGAATTAAACCGCATTCCTCCTGAACACATGTGACACTTACCCAAGCACCCCTCCAGTAACAAACACGATGATAATGTATCCAAGGTCCAGTGTGAAGGTAAATATAACCATTCCAAAAAAAGACAAAATGTAAACTATCAGAGTAGTCTGTCTAAAACAAAAACATGAAATTGTTAGTAGTTTGTCCGATTCTTCTAGACAAATAAAAATCGTGGCTCCATAGTGGATCTGTGGCATCTTGCTGCACTGATGGACAGTGACTGCATTGGGGTGTGGGTAGGGACTTGATAATATGGGTAAATGTAGTAACCACTTTGTTTTTTCATGTGAAACTTTCATAAGAGTGTATATCAGTAATACTGTACTGAAAAAATAAAAAACCACGTGGCTTGCCACTGCTCTGTCCATATAGTAGTAAGTTCTTCGGTTTTCAAGAGTAGGTTTTCCTCTCATGGGAAATGTTTCACCAAAGTATGTACTTTGAAGCTAAAGTTTAAGATTCAGTGGCAGCAGACAACAAAATCCACACTATATTCAATGCTCAGACAGGAGGGATATTTATATGGATAAAATCATTTTTATGCCGCCAAATGGGGCAGTTCCCTATCTGTACTTCAGGATTCAGATGAAATTCCATCTCTTCCGAAGTGGCGCTTACAAGACCATCTTCCAAACTCCCTTATCATTTTACTACCTACGTAACTGGCACTTGACATCTATTGAACTTACAACATCTAATTTAGTCTGTTATGTTACTATTTGACCTTTCATATGTGAATGCCTGTTTCCCCATTTAGATCACAAATGTCTTAAGGACAGGAATCGAATCGCCTGCTGCAATTCCCAGCTAAAAGTGATGCACACAACACGAGTTTGGTGGATGAATGGCGATTTCCATGAGAAGGAAACCAGGGCAACAACGAACCCATTTCTTTGCCGATCGAGTTTTCTCATTATGTACCAGACGATTACTAGTAAATTCGTTACATATGCTCTCTTCATCCACAAATTTTATGGGTTTTTATCTAAACTACCATTTCATAATAATGAAGCCACAGTCAAGTGCTGTCTTAAATTATGGGAACATTATCTTGGAGAATTTCAAGATATTTTGGTATTTTGGTATTTTCAAGTATTTTGGAAGGCATCTAATGCTTGTGCCCTGAAAAGGTACACAGGACACAAATCCATATTTCATTTATTCATTTTATTTCATTCCATTCTGTCTATTCATTCACAGTTTCATTCATTCATTTTTCCCAAGCAGAAGGGATATTTCTGTCTGTTAGAAAAAATAGCTATTTGAAGGCCCAGTGCAAAAGATGCTGTTAAACCCCTTTCACAGTCTCCCAATTGGTATTAGTCACTTCTCTTCTGTATTAGCATTTTGCTGTTTCCCTGTAGATGTACAATTAATATAGTATTTTTATATTATGTATTATAGTTTAGTGATGTTATAGTTTGGGAACATTTTAGACAAAAATTTTTTACCAAAAAAAGCCTTATGCTCAATAATAACTTTTTAATGGGAAAAGCAACCTTTTGTTTGTTTTTAAGCTCACAACAAAAGCAGTAGAAAGTCCCTGTCAAAAGTCAAATGTTTCTCAGAAAGGGCTTTTCTGAGAATAGAAATGATTGCTTCTGAAGTAGTATGCATGCATACATTATCAGAGGGAAAGAAGGCTCATAAGGTATCCAGGTTCTCTAAGTTGAAATAAATATAACCAAGAAAATAAGACAATTTACAGACTATGGAAACATTCAGAAGTGGAGGGAACCTAAGAGTGTAGAATCCATCTTTTAGTATAACACATTTTAGATTTCTTAAAAAGTAAAGCTTCCTTTAGAGCCAAAATACCTTAGGTTGTATATCACACATTTATCTACCTTTACTTACTTGTACGTTTTGGTATAATCCAGCCATAAGCCACAAAGAATTGAGCCCACCATTCCAGCTACTACCAGTGTTAGCCCAATCCTTCCTGCATTCACTTCTTCTCCCTTCAAAGAATTTTCATGAGAAGTTAATCACATACTTCCAACTCTAACAGATTCTTCATATTCCCATACCTTTTCACAGTCAGTGGAAATAACCAGATAAAATTAAGCATACAATATAATAGGAAGATTCAGTGCATGTGATAGGGTGGGGCTGTGGGGACAGGTAAAGCACACATAAAGGACATTCTATTTTAAAACCAGGGAAAAAAAACCCTCTAAAATGTGAAAGAGATAAAACAAGACATTTTTCTTGATCCTCCATGGTTACAAGAACAAAGATTTTTATTAGAATTCTTAAATAGTTTCCAGATGTCTGAAAAGGAAGTTAATCTAATAGCTTTTACATAGTACAACTGCTTTCTCCTTTCAAAAGCAGAGAGCTCAGATCTTGATATTTATTTCTTTATATTTTTGTTGGTTTCCCTTAAATTTTTTTCTTTGCCTCTTTTCATATAACCAATTGCACTCTTTCTTTAAAAAAGAATTTTAAAAAAAGACATGTATTGCCAAAGCAATAACAACTTTTTGCTTTCCATTTTGCATATTTTATAAATTGAATTAAATGTATTCTCAGTTAAAACAAATACAAATTTTTTTTATAGGAACAAGCTCATAAATCTTTAATCTTATCATTATGTTAGCAGGACTTCTACTGATAAAGAAAATTCTTGGTCATGTGTGCAACACAGTATAGGCAGAAGCTTACCTCATAATATGTCAGTATCATTTGATTTAATAAAGTTGAGACAGAATAAAATGCTCCAGTCATGATACCTACAGTAATAAACAGAAAACTATAAATGTACCATTTACCAGTTTATAATCTGATATGGAATACTCAATGACAGAGTGAGAACATAATATATTCCTCAACTGACAGTGAAAATTAAGAACCATTCCCTTTCAGAATTAGACTGATCAACTTAACAACCAAACTTTACTAGAGATTATGATGGTAAAACATCTATAAACATGTCTATAAACAGACACTTATTATTCACCACTTACTATTTAGATTCAGACATACTGACCATAAATCATATCCCCACACAGAACATTGTATACGGCAATGGGGCAACAGGTTGTTTACTGAGCACCTACAATATACTGAGCTAAGTCTAGCATGAAACAGAACTCCTGCTTCAGAGATCTCATCCTATGTCAAAGACTGACCAGGTAATTAGTAGGACAATATTAATTAAAGTCTACTTAAAAAGAGATCAATAAAAACAGCTGGTTATCAGGAAGCACATGACTAGGTTTGAATCCTGGTGTTGCCTTGAGCATAGTGTGTAGCTTAATACTGAAGTCTCTTAACCGTGCTGAGACTTAAGTTTACTGTTTTGCTCTTCATTATTAAATATTTCAAGCACAGAAACTAGCACAGAGAATAACCTAGCAAATACACTTACTCATCACCCAGCTTTGTCAAATACTAACATTTTGCCATCTTTGCTTCAGATTCATTTTTTAGACAGTCCTTATTGTTTTTTTAATATGACAAATTCAGACACTTCCTGCAATGCTTTCAATAATCATTATTTTCTTATTTTGCTCCTTTGAAATGTGGAATACAACATTTATCAGAAAGATACATTACTGATGCTTCCCGTGAGTAAAGCTGTAAGCTGCCCAAAATGTAGAGAGGAGATTCAGGGAAAGCTTAGTCTTGAAGCATAGCAGACAAGAATCATTTGGAAGCTTCTGAAATATTTGTAAATTTTGAAATGGGGTTGTGAATTTATAATATGTGATTCCATGTCAAGAATTTCTCTTCTTATATGCAAGGTCTTCTCACTTTATTTATAATTGATTTCTTCATTTCCATAACAAGTTAACTCCCCTTTATTTGCTAAAAATGTATTATTTTATTACAGTCTCCAATCCGATCTCCAAACTGGTTCTTGTTTCAACCACCAGGAGCCTTTTCATCCAGCAATCTCAGTCCAAGAAATCTGTATTTAGGAATTGGTTTTAATTTGTAAAAGATTTAAGTAGAAGGGTGTCCATCACAGCAGAGTTTTTTTTTTTTTTCCACATGCTAGGCAATGGACTTAAGAATATTCAGATGAATAGGTCACTGCCCCACCCCTCAGAGCTGCATAATCACTGCAGGGCCCGGGAGCCTGGGGCTTCCACTGCCTGGAGTGTTCTCTGCAATTAGTTCCTAGCCTTTCTCAGAAGTAGCTCCTATCCTGACCTTGGTGTTTACCGTTTTCAATATTATATTACAATATATGTGTCCCTATGAACAACAGTAAGAATTATCCTGCATGTATTTAAACTTACTTACATACACGGGCACACCTTATTTTATTGTGCTTCACATTACGTACATTGCAGATGCTGTGTTTTTTATAAATTGAAGGTTTGTGGCAACCAAGCATTGAGCAAGTCTACTGGTGCCATTTTTCTTAGAGCATTTGCTCACTTCGTCTCGGTCAAGTTTTTGTAATTCTTACAGTATCTCAAACTTTTTCCTTATTATTATCTTTGGTATGGTGATCTGTGATCAATAATCTTTGATGTTCTTTTGTCATTGTTTGGGGGCAACAAAACTCCACTCACTTAAGAGAGTGAACTTAATTGGTAAATGTGTGTGTTCTGACCGCTCCACCATCCAGCTGTTCCCGTCTCTCTCCTTCTCCTTAGGAGAGGAGACACTAATTTCCTGAGACATACCAACATTTGTATTAGGCCAATTAATAACCGTACAATGGCCTCTAAGTGTTCATGTGAAAAGGAAGAGTCACATACCTCTCACTTTAAATCAAAAGCTAGAAATGAGTAAGCTCAGTGAGGAAGGCGTGTCGAAAGCCAAGACAGGCTGGAAGCCAGGCCTCTTGTACTGAACAACCTAGTTGTAAAGGCAAATGAGAAGTTCTTGGAGGAAATTCAAAGTGCTACTCCAGTGAATACAAATGATAAGAAAGTGAAACAGCCTTATTGCTGATATGGAGAAAGTTTAGTGGTCCGGTCCGGATAGAAGATCAAACTAGCTAAAACATCTCCTTAAGCCAAAGTTTAATCCAGAACAAAGCCCTAACTTTCTCTAATTCTGTGAAAGCTGAGAGAGGTGAGGAAGCTGTAGAAGAAAAGTTGGATGCTAGCAGAGGTTGGTTCATGAGGATAAAGGAAAGAAACTGTCTTCATAGCATCAAAGTGCAGGTGAGGCAGCAAGTGCTGATGGAGGCTGCAGCAAGTTATCCAGAAGATACAGCTAAGATCATTCATGAAGGCGGCTACAGTAAACAACAGATTTTCAATGTAGATGAAACAGTCTTCAGTTGGAAGAAGATGCCATCTGGGACTCACAGCTAAAGAGAAGTCAGTGCCTGTCTTCAAAGCATCAAAGAACAGGCTGACTCTCTTGTTAGGGCTTAATGCAGCTGGTGACCTTAACCTGAAGTCAGTGTTCACTGCTCACTGACTATTTCAAAATTCCTAGGGACCATAATAATTATATTAAATCTACTTTGCCTGTGCTTTAGAAACAGGAATAACAAAGCCTGGATAACACCACATCTGTTTAAAACATGGTTTACTAAATATTTTAAGCCAAGTATTAAGAATTATTGCTCAGAGAAAAACATTCTTTTCAAGAACATTACTGCTCACTGACAATGAGCCTGGTCACCCAAGATGGAGATATACAATGAGATCAATGTTGTTTTCACACCCATTAATACAACATCTTTTCTGCAGCCCATGGATCAAGGAGTAATTTCAACTTTCAAGTCTTGTTATTGAAGAAGTGCATTTCATAATGCAGATTGTGAATCCTCTGATGGATCTGGGCACAGTGAATTGAAAACCTTCTAGAAAGAATTCCCCATTCTATATGTTTATTGCAGCACTATTTACAATAGCCAAGATATAGAAGCAACCTAAGTGTCCATCAGGAGATGAATGGATAAAAAAGATGTGGTACATATACACAATTCAGCCATAAGAAAGAAACAAATCCTATCATTTGCAATGACATGGATGGAGCTGGAGGATATTATGCTCAGTGAAATAAGCCAGGCGGAGAAGGACAAGTACCAAATTATTTCCCTCATTTGTGGAGTATAACAATGAAGCAAAACTGAAGGAACAAAATAGCAGCAGACTCACAAATTCCAAGAAGGAACTAGAGGTTACCAAAGGGGAGGGGTGTGGGAGGGCAGGTAGCGGAGGGAGGGAGGGAGAAGGGGATGGAGAGGTATTATGACAGGCACACATGGTGTGGGGGCGGATCATGGGGAGGACAATGTAGCATAGAGAAGGCAAATAGTGACTGTGGCATCTTACTACACTGATGGGCAGTGACTTCAGTGGGGTATGGGGGACACGATAATATGGGTCAATGTGGTAACCACATTGTTTTTTCATGTGAAACCTTGAAAAGTATATATCAGTAATACCTTAATAAAAAAAATTCCCCATTCTAGATGGCATTAAGAACATCTGTGATTCATGGGAAGATGTCAAAGTATCAATATTAATATTAAGAGGAGTTTGGAGGAGGTTGATTCCAAGCCTCATGGATGACTTCAAAGAGTTCAAGCCGACAGTGCAGGAAGTAACTGTAGACGTGGTAGACTAGGAGGAGAATAGAATTAGAAGTGGAAGCTGATGATGGGACTGAATTGCTGCAATCTCATGATAAAGCTTTAATGGATGAGAACTTGCTTCTTATGGATGAGCGAAGAAGCGGCTTCTAGAGATATAATCTACTTCTGGTAAAATGCTGTGAAGATTATTGAAATGTCAACAAAGGATTTAAAGATTAATAAAGTTGATAAAGCAGCAAGCAGGGTTTGAGAGGACTGACTCCAATTCTGAAAGTTCTACTGTGGGTAAAATGCTATCACACAGCACCATGTTTTGTTCTGAAAAAAGGAAGAGTCAAATTGATGGGGCAAAGTTCACTCTTGTCTTATTTTAAGAAATCGCCACGGCCCCCCCAGCTTTCAGCGATCAGCACCCTTGGTCAGTCGGCAGCCACCCACATCAAGGCAACACGCTCTACCGGCAAAAAGATCAGGACTTGTTTAAAGGTCAGATGATGGCCAGCAGTTTTTAGCGATTATTTTTTAATTTAGATATATGCTATTTTTTAGACATAATGCTATTGCCCTTAATAGACTATAGTATAGTGTAAACATAACTTATATGTATTGGGAAACCAAAAAATTCATTTGACTCACTTTATTGTGGTATTTGCTCTATTTCAGTGATCTGGAACTGAACCGACAATGTCTCTGAGGTATGCCCACCTGTATTATCTGTATCCATCTGCAGCTTGCTTCCTGTATGACTTAGTATTATGGTTTTGAGATTTTTCTGTTTTGATACTTTGAGTTATTATGCATTTGTTTTCTCCACTATAAAATAGTTCACTGTGTAATACACTTCAGTTTAATTCTCTCTTCTCCTGTCAATGGACACTTACGGCTTTTTCTACTTTTTCCTACGTAAAACAATATTGCAATGAATATTATGCTTCTGTTCTTATGTATAAGGGTTTTATAAATATATATCTAGGAGTACTTCTACTTTCTGGATATAGCCAAGTTGCTCTTCAAAATGGTTGTACTAGTTTATACTATCAACAGATTTACTTTACTCCACATCTACCCAAATTTGTTTTTACCAGATTAAAAAAAAATTGTTTTTGCTAATCTGAATGAATGTGGTATCGTATCTTACTCTGGTTTTGATTTACATTTCCTTGATTACTAGTAAGGTTGAGCATCATATCCGAGCAATACACACAAATGCCTGGTTCC